TGTATTCAAAGTGGTTAGGATAGATATATAGTTACATTCTGTTAATGAATAGAATGATTTATTCTAATGATGTTTGTAAATAGGTTGTCATGTCCGCATCTTGAACAGCAATTAACCACTAAGAAGAATGTATGTAGTGTGTTAATTATTGAAACTGTCCTACCGATTTGATTTGAAACTGTCTCATTGCTATTTGTTTATCAATAAAATTATAGCAAAAAAAGATGAGATTTTATTCTTTTATAAGTTGAATAGTATTCATATACCTATAAATATGTGCATATATAATATTATCTTTATTCAATGGTTGATGAGCTGCTTAGGTTGATCCTATATCTCAAGTATTGTGAATAATGCTGCAGTGCATATGGGACTGTATCAATATACTGATTTCATCTCTTTTAGACATATACTCCGTAGTGATACTACCAGGGAATAGGATATGTAGTTCTCCTTTTTTTTCAGGAACCTCTACACTGTTTTACCCTAAACATTATACTAATTTATATTCCTGGGGCTTGGGAGATAGCTCAGTGGTCTAAGTGCCTACCTGTCAAGCACCAAGAACCCAGGTTTGATCCCCAGTACCACATACGGTGCCAGCCCCACCCTGGATGCACTGTGCCAACCACAAAAACCATGCATGGTGACACAGCACTGGAATGCCAGCACTGAGGAGGCTGAGACAGGAGGATCACTATGAGTCTGAACTGTGTAATGAGACCCTATGCCCAATAAGTAAAAAATAATAATGATAAAATAATAATTTATATTCCCTATGTTGAAGAACTTTGAAAGATCTTCTAGGTGGGCATAGAAATATTATGTTCTCCTTCAACAAGATTTCAGATCATTGCCTTTCCAACTGATGGGCAAATCCCAGAACTCAGAGTCCAATCAAGCCACATACTCTGAAGACATGTGTCAACCCTGAAGACACTAGAACAAAGATCTCCTGACTGAATGCATAGGCTACGAAATGGCTTAGCTTCAGAAGGCACCCAGAAAGTCAGCCTAAATCCAATCATCCTCCACAACAAAATCCCTCTAGTCTTGAAAGAAAGATTCTCACCGTTAGGCATGAGTTCTATCACCAGGGTTGGGTAGGCGATGTTGCTACAGCCAACTGAAGTGCCACAATATTTCTGACATTCTGAGGGGATGACACAGGCGATTTTTTCTGGAGAACAGAAGAATAGCCATGTTAGTAAGCAGACATTGCAGAAATAGTTCCAAAGTTCATTTTCTTAAGACAAGATTTCAAACAAGACATTCCTGACTAATGTCCTGTAATGACACCAAAGAGTGCATGGCTCCCACATGAGCCCCGTGTGCCATGCCACTGCCCTTCTGATCCGGATCTAGTCCCAACCCCTTCCTAGGAACAAAAGAATCTTCCTAGGCAAAGTAGAAAAGAATTATAAATATGAGAAAGGATAAGAAACAACCTTTATTCTTTGGCTAGCCACCCCAAAGCTCGGCAAGTGACAATTTTATTTTCTCTAAAAATCACAGTGATTAATGGTTCCTAATTTTGAAGTTTATTTTAAGCAGATCTTAGAAGTAGAGTTAAATAACTGAAAAAATTTCCTCAGTATCAGGACTGTTGAGTGCTGCTTCCAAGACATAGGAAATCTTGAATAAAAATTAAAAATCAAAAAGGAAATCCAGGTGAGGTAGAGCACACCTATAATCCCAGCAGCTAGAAGGTTAAGCCAGGAGGATCACTGCAAGTTTGAGACCAGACTGGGCTACAAAGTGAGATCAAGGGTGACCTGAATTGCATAGCAAGACCCAGTTTCAAAAGACATAATGGAGAGAAGGAGAGAGAGAGAGAAGAAAAGCCTGGGTGGAGAAGAGAATAGGTGACTCTTAGAACTCTAGAGACATATAGAATTCAGATCAATAAGCATTTATTAAGTACTTACTATAAGTATATCTCACTTAGCACTGAATTATTATAGCACAACTTTATAAATAAATATGTATACTCCATTTTATAAAAACACCACATCTTTTTCATCCATTCCTCAGGTGATGGGCATTTTGGTTGCTTCCAAGGTTTGGTTATCGCAAATTGTGCTACTATAAACATACGCACACATATGTCACTATGATATGATGTTTTCAGATCCTCTGGGAAAATTCCCAGTAGAGGAATAGCTGGTTTAAAGGGGATTTCCATCCATTCATCAGGTGATGGGAATTTTGGCAGCTTCCAAGATTTGGCTATCACAAATTGTGCTGCTATAAACATAGGTGCACATATATCAGATAGCTCAGTAGAATAAGTGTTTGCCTGGCAAGCACAAGGGCCTGAGTTCAATCCCTGGTTCAATAAATAAATAAATAAATAAATAAATAAATAAATAAATGTGCATATTAGTCGTTATAGAATGAACTGGCCAGTTAGCTCTGTAGTTGATGACCATCGCCCCACCCCCAGTGCCCATGGGGTTTGGTTCCAGGAAATCCTCTACAACAGATATGAAATCTGAAGATGCTCCAACTTTATACAAAACAGTGTAGTATTTGAATATACCATATGCCTTATCTTCCTGTATAATTTAAATCATCTTTATAGTACTCATATTACCTAGGATGATATAAATGCTATTTAAATACATGTTATACTACATTTTTAGGAACTAATGACACGAAAAACACCCACACAAATTCTATATATCTACAATGTTTTTCAAATATTTTTAATCTTCAGTTATTTGAATATACATATGTACAAATAATGAATATAGGGAGCTGACTATATTTCTTTCACGACAAATGAGCCACTACAAGAGTATGCATCCAATCTCTCCCTCCCTCCCTTTCTCTGCTATTTCACCTTCCAGGAAACAGGATAGACTCTTGGTGATACTGGAGAGACCACAAGAGGCTCAATGAAGAATGTAGCTCCTTAAACAACAAAGAGCAAAGCTCCAGGCACTTTCAAGGAAATGATCCAGGAAACAGAGCTCAGAACAGGAGGCAATTAGAGACCAGCTGGGGTCTTTTAACATTAAATTATAAAGGACCTCATACACACCACAAGTCTAGGGGAGGAGCTCAAGTTGAACAAATATTACTAGCCGGAAGAGAAAACCTGGGCATGTATTGTGGCTCAAAAAGATTAGAAAAGAAATGAGGAAATTTTTGCCAATGTAACAACAATCCTGAGAAGAACGTTCCAAAAATCCTGATCCCTGAAGTTCACTATCTAGCAGAGGAAAGAGCAGTGATATTTGATAATTATGGCAAGAAAATAATAATAAAAGAGAAAGACAGAGAGAGAGAGAGAGAGAGAGAGAGAGAGAGAGAGAGAGAGAGA